CACACACACACACACACACACACACACACACACACACACACTCACACACACACACACACACAAACACATACACAAACGCACGCATATATACATCATTATGAATAAGTCATACAAAAGCATAATATTGTAATATGCACAAAGTGATTCGCAAATTTTCAAAAGTACATACTTAGTCATTTACGTAATATTGTACTGAGAATGAAACGAATGGGTTAGAAAGTATTCCAAAACATCTCCAATGTTGTACGACTCAGAGAATGAGAAAGGGAGTTCCAAACTCATGGACCAAGACAGGAGAAGGATCTTAATTTCAGCTATTTTTTTACCTCCTCTCCCTGGAACTCCTAAAAGACACTGATCACCTGATCTCGGTGATTTAGATTGGACATAAATCTGGATGAGATCACTAAAATATGAGGGAGATTTGTGACTGACACACATGTGGCATAATACTGCAATTGTATACGATATTCTGACTGATACAGGGAGCTAATGCAATGTTCTTCACATGATGGTATGAGAAAGTCGCTTGGAAGTTCCACAATCACCCAATACTCTAAGTTTGGTTCGAACCTGGATCATGAACACTGCAGTCCCTTTTACAATTTGAGTTAAAAGGAGCTGTCAACAACCTAAGAATGCAAGTGACGCACTTGAGCGGCTGCTCATCAGCATTGGACAATAGATACAACAGACTGTCTAACGGTAAGCAAAACTAATGTAATCGCACAACTTTGGAGGTATTGAAATTGCTGTCCTGTATGAAGACCAGCTGGTTTAAAAAGCATGCTTTCCACTGTTTATAGGTTGTTGTGTTGTCTTGGCTTTTTTAGTTAGTTTTTTTAAAGGGTGTTCTATTTTGTTTGGTTGCTTTTTTGCGGGGTTTGTTTGTTTTTGTTTTGTTTTTGTTTTTGTTTTGTTTTGTTTTTTTGTTTTTTGGGGGGCTAGTCAACATTTTAAGTTCATGCCCTAATGGCGCCATTCTTTTAAAGCTGTGTTATATTGTGCCACTAGCCAACACGTTAAAAGGACATTTGTATTAAAGTAATACTAATTTGTTGTGTGTAGCGTATACGTACTGTGCTCTCCTGGATGAAGATGATGGAACCGTCGTCCGCGTGCCTGATGTCTGTGGGGAGGGCGAAGCCTTTGACGAGCAGCGAGTTCCTCAGCAGAGAGATGACAGAGCGGAGGATGAACGAGATGAACAGGTTGATGTGGATGGTGTTCCTCTGGCAGTGAAGCTTTCTGGAGAGCGGAGAGCACGTTGTTGTATTGTATGGTATGGTATGTTATGGTAAGGTATGGTATGGTATGAGGTGACGTGGCATGGCGTGGGGTGGCGTTGCATGGTATGGTACAGTATGGTATAACATGGTGCGGTTCGGTAAGGCATGGTTTGGAACCAGATGCTTTGGTATGATAAGGCTTTGTTTGTATAGCAACTTATTACTTCTGAAGTTGTCTTTCAGTGACCACCACAGCAATCAGTATTTGACAGAACATCAGCTCATATTCAAAAAGATGCACAGTACTGCTTATTGCCAAGTTGCCATACACTGTGAGTTTTTTTCTTTAACTTGGGCAGGCACATCCAGTGCAAGGACACACCTCACAGTTATTTACAACATCGGCATGTCTCTTTCAGCCTTTTAAGGTTATTTGCAACGTGGGAGTTTAGGTTGTAATATTAATCCTCAAAAAGAGGAAGTCCAGTAAGGTTAGAACATGCCTCCCCCCCCCCCCCCCAGACACACTTCTTCCCCCTTAAAAAAACAACCAAAATTCCACTTTCACGATTGCCTTTTTCGGGTTTACAAACAATATCCAAGCCCAGCAATTCACCACGATAACAGCTAAGCTAACGCAACCCCCTTCCCCTATTTAGAAAGTGTAAACGAGATAAAAGTCAAACGCATTTTATGCCTTTGCATCTCCTTTTACTGGTTGTTCTCAATCACCATCCGGCGCCTTGCCGACTGGTGTGGGCGATCATGGACCTCCGCTTCACTCGGTATTGCGTTGAAGCCATGGCGTCTGTCGTTCTTGCTGTTCCCAGCCATTTTGTCAACTTGTACAGAATCTCTTTCATCTGTCTGCCTCTCTTTCCATCAAACTTGCCAGCTGTTGTTACGATATTTTCCAGTGTTTCTTTCCACTTTGTGCGTCTAATTAATTTTGCCTGTCGCTTTCAGATACAGCGTGACCATCTGCAGGGGTTAGAAAACTCAAAGTTCAGTAATAACCTGCTAGATTCAAATCGATTAGACTCTGGGATACAGAACGGTAGACTTCGAAAACAAAACCTTCAACAGATCTTGGGAAAAAGAGCGCAAAGTACAAATTGGTACAGAAAAAGCTGTTCCGAAAGACCACCACCCTTAAATGCAGCGTCTCGAGAAAGCGAGATAAGTGTTTCACATGCTTTGTATTACGGGGGAAACCGTCGTCTCAGATAACTAAATGTCATTTTTCAAGATTAGAAATTGGATCGATGAGTTATAATAATTTCAGAATCAGCATTTGCTGCCGTATTCAACTTTCTCACGTGGACTCAACTTTCGTTTCTCACTAATTCAGGAGTCCAATAATAATCTTGGCTTTTTATTGTTTTAACTTTACTCGTGTGCATACAGAGACCTGATTATGTCTTTTGTTTTGTTCTGATAAAGATAAATAACAGCTGTTTCGGCACAGAAGTTGTTGACAATGTGTCTTTCTATTGCTTGGCTCAAACCTGTCATAAACGCACATTCATATTAAAATTTACGTTACTTAAAACACTATCACCTCTGTAACGCTCATAACATATGTTCTTTAAGTGTACGTAATAAACTCTACTACACGCATCTTTTCAAACCCGTGGACTCTGCCTATAGGGACAAATATTAATAAAGAAGTATAATTTTTCTCAACATCATTGCACAAACTGTTTAAGAAATATGGTGTTACATAACTTTTTTTTTTAAAAAGACGAACAAGCTACGCATTTGAACGCGCCATAGTCGTGTTTCGTTTGTCTCTTTTAAAATCTACATCCTATTACATTTGTTTCCTCTTCGTTCCTGCAATAAATGTATGCCATACCTACATACGATACAACACAGCGGTTTCTCATTTTCTATAAGCAAGCCATTACCCTGCTCCCAACGATAATCACCCACCTGCCTATCACGGATGATCGTTTGCTATAAAATACGGCCCTGAGTTATCTTGCCTTTTAAGTGACAACTGCACAGCAAACAAGCTGCAAAAGCTATCCCTTAACTTTGCTAAATGGCCATTGCGTTGGCAAGGTAATAATGGCAATATTACTGACATGCATTCTTTGTTTTTCGTTTGTCAGTTAGTACGTTTGTATGATTGTTCGTTTGTTTGTTTGTTTGGTTGTTGTTGTTGTTGTTGTTGTAGTTGTTGTTGTTGTTGTTGTTTTGTTCTTTTTAACGGGAAAGAGGAGACGGTATTTTTTGTTTTGTTTAACTTGTTTGCTTGATATAAACAACTGTCATTTCGAAGGTGGATCCCCGTAAGATAGAGAGCAGACTCTACTATTGTGTTAACTTCTCGTTTACGACGTAATGGCTTTTGTAATTGGCTCGGGTTCTGCTTCCTTTGTTCAATCATGCTAGCATTGGGTCATATCTGTTACCCAAACAGAAACAATCTAAAGAGGCAGGACAGCTTCTGAAGCAATGCAGTTTTATGTTACTGTGTGGGAGGCTCATAAGCCGAAACGCCAGCGATCTTGTACAAGTTCAGACAGCGTTTCTAAAAACTCCCTGCTACAAGAAAACATGAGACTTCCTGGTGAAGATATTTTCCTCTCCATCAAACAAACCATACGCCAACATATCATTGTACTTTTGGCTTACATGTTATTAACAATAAAATGACATTTTGATTGCGTTTCGATTACAATTCTGCTAAGATTTACCAAAAAACGAAATAACCTATGTGGACTTCTACAGCGGAGAATACTTTGGTTTTAAGACGTATAGTTCATATCAATATATATTATTATTGATTAAATTATAGCAAAACTCAAGAACCGCTCCAGAACATGGTTGCATTTTACTCTCATCCTGTGAATATGAACAGTCTGTTCCATAAGGAGGAAGCCATTTCGACATTTGTAATGTCATTCAATTGAACACTGATTATCAAAAAAGAACCAAAAAAACATTGTCGATATCAAGCAAATTAAAAGTAATTGTAAAACAGGCGTGTTATAATATGATTTTTTAAAGATCTTTACTAGAGTTGAAGATTTTGTTTTTCACTATATGTATACAAAGTCATGCATCCGTTTCCAGTAAGGTCATGTCTTGCAGATCGGGGATAGACGAGCTTAACAACTACTATTCACGGT